TTGCGATTCCGTTGCCGGTCCCCGGTACGGGCGCGACACTGAGGGTTGCGATCCCGTTACCGGTCAGTAAAAAAGACAAAAAGGAAAAATAAATAAATAAATAAAATAAAATACATAAAGTATCGCAAACAGCAGCATGCAGTTTAATAATCTTATTAGTCTCATATTTTTAATTTTACTTAGTATGCCTTAGTATGATATGAGAAGAATATTTACTAGGTGCTGTTTATGTGAACACATGTGGGTCACCAGGCTGACTGAAAAGAAATGTCAATCTCTTCCTGCAATTTTAATGAGCTTCACAAACCTAATATGTCCAATTAATAAGTCTTCATCCAACACTTTCCCAATTCCCCTTCCCACAACCTGTTTCTTCCCTTGTCCTACTTACTTAAATCAGTAGCTCAACCATCTTCTCAGTTGATCAAGATAGAAAACAAGGAGTTATCTTTGAAGGCTTTTTCCTAGAACCAACAGTAATCAACAAATCCTGCTGTGATTCCAAAACCTCTCACAAATCTCTCCTACCTTGCTATCCCTCTAGTCTGAGGCATCATTAGCTAATTTGACTCTTAGCTTACTCATTTGCTTACTTTTCAAACAACACACCAGGAGTGATCTTTTCAAAATATAAATTGGGTCAGCTCACACTCCTATACAGAATTTTCCATTAAAATAAAATTAAAACTCCTAAGAGAATTCTTTCTCTACCTGCTCTCCAGTTCTACCATAGATAGCTCTCCCCTTGCCACACTGACCTTCTTTCTGTCCCCCAGATAGGTGCCCCAGGATTTTTGCACTTACTGTTCCCTCTGCAATACTTTTATTCCCTCTGGTCATCCCTGGATGACCTCCTCTTAGAGGACATTTGTGAACACTCACTCAGAGTGACCTGATCATGCTTTATCATATTTCCCAGGTCTAATTCCTCTAATACCCCTTACTACTATCTGATATGTTGTAGTTTGTTTTCCCTTCATTAATCATCTGTCTCCTCTGTTTGCTAATATAAAAATTCTCTCAGTGAAGGGACCTTGTAAACCTTGTTTAGGGTTATCTTCCCAAGGGCTATTTGTATGCTTGGCAAATTGTAGACCATTAAAAATATTTGTTGTGAATAAGCAAATGACAATATAAATAAATAATTATTTTCAAAGTCAAAGAAGAATAAAAGGTAGAGATGTTTGTGTTGGTGGGAACAATATCTGGATTATTGTGCATGTTTATTTTTCTTCCCTATACACTCAAAGACAGCAAAGGAAAAAGAAAACTAGCAGGTGAAAGAATTGAACACATTTTTAGAAGAGAGAAATCTGATAGAAAATGGTGGTAGACTCAGAGCAAATTTGTATGAGTTAAGTATCAATGAGAATAAGTCACTTGGGCCCAGCAGAATCTTTATGGATTCAACATTGGAAGCAAAAGATATCATAGATGGTGGATTACTAAGGCCATGAAAAGAGAAACAGGGAGATTGACTGAAAATCCTTATGTAGAGTGGTTGGGCCTCCACGTTCCCTTTTCTTGCCTCTTCTATGTGGCATTCCTTCCGTCCCTTTCAGGAAATCTAAAGTTTATTTCAGCAGAACCCTATTCAGAGAAGGTCTGAACTCAGGAACTTTCAACAGTATAAGGCTGGGATGAAGCTGAAGCTGAAAATGAGAATTATCAGACCGCTTCCCAATTCTGCTTCTAGAATACTTGTCTGTAGTCAGGATTATATTACTTCCAAATTCTGTCCCCATCTACCAATCTGTCAGGGGAAGAGATTACTCTCTTGAAACACTGAACAGTTCCAGATAAAAGAACTATTTATACTGACATTTGGGGATCCTCCTGTAAAACTGCCAGGACCCCAACCAATCACTCTGCTGTAAGCTTAACTATTGATATGCATTTCCCACCCAGTTGCTAATCAGCTTTACAGTCCCTCATTCTTAAATATTGACAAGTAGCAAAGGATCAACAGATATAAGAAAGTTTAAAAGACATCTTATAAAACTTAAAAGCTCAGGTGAAAAAACAAAGGCCAAAAACAAACTGCAAAAAGCACCTGGAAGAAACAGAGAAAATGCATAAATAAGAATACTTAAAAAAACAACAAGGCACAATGCCAGTAAGATGGCAGACAAAGAAGCACCAGGCCCTATTTCTCCCACGGAGACACTAAGTTAACAACCGTCCATGGACTGTATGAAAACTCTAGAGACCAGATGAGAAGCTACAGCACCCAGGCCATTATAAAACCAAGATGAGATTCCAGGAAAAAGGATAAGAAAACTTGTGGTGTTTGGTATGCCCATTTGTACTCTTTCCCCTATATAGTATAGTGACAATGAAGAAGTTACAAGGGGAATTAGAAAACACCTCAACACAAATTAAAATGAAATACAATATACCAAAATTTTGGTGTTGCATTGAAAGCACTGCTAAGAGGAAAGTTTACAGTTGTAAATGCATACATTAAAAAAAACAGAAAGATCTCAATCAACAACACAACTTTATATCTCAAGCAACTAGAATAAGAAGAACAAGCTAATAGGGAAAAGAAGAGAAATCCTAGAAGCTTCAAGAAAAAAAAATAGTTATATGAAAAAAAAATGGGAATTATAATTGTTGAGACTTCTCAATAGCAACTTTGATTACAGGGCAACCCTTCCAAATTTGGAGGAAAAATGATTTAGCTTAGAATTCCATCCCAAGTTAAGCCATAAGTCACCTAGAATTATAAATTTTTGAACTTAAAATGTACTTGAGCAAACTTGGAGAAAAAATTGAGACTTGGAAACAAAAATGAGGAAAAATTTAGTTTAAGAAACTATGGATCAGACCACCCAGAGATATGGGAAATACCAGGACCACAGCTGTAATCCTGGTTTAACAATCTGCTAGTCCGGATTGGACATCACAGACTATTGGTAGTAACTGAGTATTTGTAAAAGTCATGCATGTGGTGCAAAATCTGTGTGGTCAACTGAAAAAAACATAGGAATAGATAAATGGAAAACAAAGACAATAAAAATAAAAACAAAATGGCTATTATTAAATCTATTTTTTTTTATTTCTTATCTTGATTATAATTGTTTTTTCCTATGTGACTATAATGTTTTTATGTCTTAAGTTGAAAACACGTTTAAGAAATTAAAAAATGCAGGCATGCCTATTCTCCAGAAGTAATCTGCAAACAATTTTTTCAGGTGTTTCTACATGTATATAAATTTTAAAAATATATTTTTTTTTACAAAAATAGGTTGATACTATACATTGTACTACAGCTGTATTTTTTTTCATTTTAAACATATTTTGTAATGCCATATATCTACCATTCTTTTTTTTTTGTTGTTTGCAAAATTTTCTTAAAGAAAATTTTGCAAAATTAAATCTAGTTTGAAAAAGGAAACATATCATAAATCGCTACATGGCTCATCAATGATTAATTTTGATGCAGTTCTAATAATGTAAACCTGTACTTCTCATTTAACCAAAAAATCGTAATAAAATTATATTGAGAGAATGGGAACAACACAGGAAAGTATAGGTAGGTAGATCATTCCTCAGTTACCATAATAAAAGCCAAAAGATATCTGAAATTGCTAAATCAAGAAAGAGCAGTCTAATCACATTATTTAAGAAAATGAAGTGAGTGCCAGAAGAACTAGCTGAATGGACTGAATAACTGCATCTGGAGGTCAGAACCAGGGGTAGCTAGAGATGGAGAACAAGAACTACTGTTTTGTATTGTTCATCTTTTAGTTATATTTTATTTTTTTAAATATGTGCAGATATTTACATTGATAAAAATTTGACTAACTATTCCTATCCCCTCTAAACACACATCATCACATATTAGTCACTAAGCTGGAAGTGTGGTTATGAATTCACATACACAAAAGTGGCTTGAAAACTCTTGAGTTCTTGGCTGGTAATTAAAAAGTAAAGTCCATGGAGTGTAAGTAGTGACAGTATAATATTGGATGCAGCATGGATGTCAAATATTACAATCTTCATGTCTAATTAATGGCATCGGAGATACACCAACTTCAGTGAAACTTGTGTTTTGAAAGTAGCTTTTATAGGGATTGTTAGATTTGAAAAATAGAAGCTTATAAAATTCTCCGTCAGTCCTATTTGTGAACAATACTTTATTAAATATCTTCCAGATTTTCATATGACACTTTTAAATGGGGTTGTCAAACTGAAAACATTATTTACACATATTGATTAAAAAGTATGTAAGTATTTTATCTCATCAATGTTAGTATTATGCTATGGCAAAACTCCTATGGTGTTTTCCTGATAAAAACGTCATCATGATGAGTGAGCTGTCACATAATGTGTGACTGGTAAATATAGATTCTAGGCCTCTTCAGAAATGCTGGGAGTTTTAAATCCAATGACATCTCATAGCAAAGAATTTTGAATTAAAGAAGGCATTTTCAATTTACTTATGAAAAAAATAAACAATGGCAATACTAGAATAAGAGCAACTAAGGCTGTTTTTAACCAAAAGGAAATACATTTTTAACCAAACTGGTTCATAACTATTCCACCAGATCCTGTTAGAATATTTTTAGCAGTAAGAAAGGTACACACTAATTAGTCAGGAAAAACAAACAATGACAATAGTTGACAATCAGTTTTTGAAGAAGTGTATTTAAAATGAACTTGAAATGACAAAGATAGTAGAGTTGCTAGATAACAGTTTTGATGAATTTTTATAATCCATGGTCCTAGGAATTCCATATTCACGTCCATAAATAGTAACTTAAAGTCTGCCTCTGGCTTCTGATATAAAGATACAGATTTTGTTGGTGTTGTTGTTGCTGTTGTTTTTTGTTTTAACCCCTATGAATCTAAAGTAGCTCAGCTACAGTCATTTCAACATATAGCACCTATTAATATCTAGTGGTATAAAACAAAGTTGAGGTGAATTTATTGTTGAAGATAATCATAAAGTCAAGTTAAATAATAAAAATAGAAAATATTAATTATGATGAGCTTAAGTAATAAACACCATTCTATAAGTCAAGTAATTCTCAACCTTAATTAAAATTTCAATTAAAAATCCTCTAAAACCATGTCGGTCTAAACAAATATATATACACGTAATGAATCTTTAAAAAGACTCAATTTTAAGCACTAGTTGTAATTTCTGCTCTTAACAAGTTTTCATTTAGAACTCCAAACAGCACTTTTTTTAATAAAAAGGTCCCTGAACTTAAAGGGAAAGTTAGCAGAAAATAACAGTTAAAACAAGTCGTAAAATAATAGCTCACATTAGGGAATACATTAACTCATTTAATCCTCACAACAATTACATGAGGTAGTTTCTGATTATCCTCATCTTACAACTGAGCAAACTAAAGTACAATGAAATTAAGTAAATTGCTCAGGGCCATCCACTTTCATGGGTTACCTCCTTCTCACAGACTTCTTAAGTTATTAAGAGACGAGATAAAGGTTTCCATTCCCACTGTCCTGTTTATAACCACACCTTCCCTGGATTCTTTATTCAGTCTTTAATAATAAATCTACCCTGCCTTGATGACCTAGCAGTTCACATTTGTTTGCTGGTGTTTTTATCTGCCTCTTTATACAGCCTCACTATTATCTCAGGACCGATGCTGGGGACTTATAAGCGAGTATTAGGTCAGAGTTTACACTCTGGAGCCTGTCTGAACTGGACTGGGCTGCCAGTTCTGGTTTGATCAGATTCTTAATAATACTAAATTAAGAAAAATCCATTCAGCAGGTTCTTCAAGTGGTAAACAGCTTCTGTTTTTATGAACAATTGTTATTAAATCCATACTACATAGTGTTTTCAAAAGGAACAAAATCACTTTTAGCACTGTAGAGTTATAGAGAACCTTATATATTAGTCAACCTTCCCACTCATTTTCCGGATGAAGAAACTACAGCTCAAGGAAGTTATGTGATTTGCCTAAGGTCTTAATGTTCTTTAAAGGCAGAGCCATTAACTAAAACCTGGTCTCCAAACTTCCATGCAAATGTTCATTTTTTGTATTTTTAAGAAAGAGCTAAACTGATTACATTAAAATTTAAAACTAGTAAGTTATTTAAATGATAGGTAATGCTGAAGGTAAGCACAATAATCTTACCTGTATGAACCATACATCACTTTCTGGCAGTCAACTAACAAAAATTTCTGTTCCATTTTTCCATGGAATTTTGCTCCTGTTTTTGAAAGATATTCTTGGCCTTTCACTGTCCGTACTCGAATATTCTAGAATTATATGTAAATATAAAGTAAAAATTATGGCTAGAAAGGGGATATTTTAAAAAGTAAAAAACATATCAATATAAAACCTTAAATATCAAAAAAAAAAAGAAATTTACTTAAAGTAAATTTTAAAACATAAAAAAATAGTGAAAAGAAAATTTCAAAAAATCTCAAAAATTAGTTAAGGAAAATAGTCACTTAAAATATATATTTAACATAGTTTAAATAGAAGACAATGCATTTACACAGAATGGTTTCATAAATTATTTAGGATCTATTATTAGAAATTCTTTTGGGTTTTAGTACCATGGTTTTAAAATAACTAAAATTAAAATCTACCTTCCTTTTAAAAGTCAAACATAACTAAAAACACTGTGTCAAACAATTTTGATGAACAACACTTGCTGAATCATAGACTCAGTTGAGTCAGCAGTTTCAAGGTGGTGTGTGCAAAACTGAATCATTAAATATGACTAGCAGCAAAGTTAACCCGAAAACTAAAGTGTTCCACCATCAAGAAAAGCACAATATAAAACCCTTCCAAAGATATGTGTTTTCAGTCACACTCTAAAATGTATAAGGGGATCCTTCTGTGATCAAATACATACACATTTTTTTCTTTTTACTTTTGGAGGAATCTACCTTGACATACGTTAAATTTGACTGAGATAAAAATGGTACACAAAATTCGTGA